CTCTCCACGCGTACATTCACTCTTGACATTACTCTCTCCAGTAGAGAGCCGGTTGTCAAGGAATTCCTCGACCACTATTCACTCTGGTCGGGGAGGGGAACATTCCGATTAACCTAAAATCTAGGTCAACATTTAGCTGGACCAGCTAAAGAAGCGAGGGAGCAGATTAGATGTCGCTGCAACGTAAAAATGGCAGCTTGCCACATCGTAGCTTTCTCTAATTTTCAAGTTTCAAGGTTCAATCCCTCCTCGTAAAATGCCCATTCACGCGGTACGGATGCCAGTGGTGTGATGCCCTCAAAGAAATGCAGGTACAAAACACCTGATTTGTACGAAATTCTGCAACTACCGTAATCTGTGTATTGCAGAAACATGCAGACTCATGCCAATATCACGGTGTTCCATGTCCCAACTGTAACAAGACGGTTGCCGAACGTAACATGGCAACACATTTGGGCGAATGTCAGATGAAAGTCGGTAAATGTGCCTATTGTGGTATAATTGTCAAGACGACAAGCATGGAAAAACACTTGAAGGTTTGCTGTCAAGAAGTACACATCTCCAATGGTTTATAATTTATTAGGTCTTGTAGTTCGGATTTCTGAGCTACGAAAAAATTGCCCCTTTTCAGATCTGTCCAAAAATGATCATCAGTTGCCCGTTTCAATGTGGCCTGACGGACCGAACACGGGAAGAGGTTTGATCTTTCAAATCGCAAGCAATCATTCAATAACACTCATAGGCATCATGCTTGGAAACAGGGTCAACCGTCATGTTCGCACTATTCCGAGATTTTTGCGACCACACCGCCACCATCAACCTTAGGAGCAAGGTCAACCGTGCGTTGGACAAAGTCCAACGAGGGGTGGGGGGTCGTATTTGGGGTGGAAAAAGGGGGGGGGTCGTATTTCGCGAGGTAGCGTTAATGTTACAGTAAGGGAAGTGATGATGCAGTTGGTTGGCGCGCTAAAATTTTGCCGTTTCACGGTGTATAAGCCCCTAGGAAATGTTGCAGTGGAAATGTTGGTGAAATAGAGGGAAAGTGAGAGGATGTTTGCGGTTTCGTGGTAGGTATATACCCCCCGCTCGACGGCAATTTTGGAGGAAAAAGTGGGGCTGTGTCGACTGGTCTCAGAATCGAATACTATAGAATGAGCCCCATGATGGCGATGGCAGGCGAGGGTGGTGGTGAAGGGTTGAACCCTGAGGGGGGTCGTATCGAGGCCCTCTAGAAGGGGGAGGGGGGTCGTAAAATTTTCGAAATCGGTCCAACGTGACGGTTGACTGCTTGGAGGACTTCCCATGCGACCATCTTCCCGAATCTATAATCTAAAAGCGGCTATCAATTGATGGTCATTTTCCCACATCGCGACGTTGACGAGATTCATCAGATGCCTCGAATTATTTTTTGGCAAATTCATGATAGTCTTTAAGGGGTCAGCAGATGTGAGAAGACATCAATAACCTAGTGCAACTTTATCAAGAAAGGAAGTTAAAAATTGAAGAGACTCCGAAAAAAATGGGTATGGCCCAGTGCACCTGCGGTTCCACTGTATTGAAAACTCAGCGCGATTAACTCCTTTACAATCATAATCGAACATCCTTCACCTTTTCTGTGGCGTTCCTAGCGTTAGTCCCGCGCAGTCGCAGGGTCCGCTGTCTTTGTCAGTCGTCGCCACTTTAGTCTGTCCAGGGCGTCCTCTGCTGTGGCCATGACTTCACTTAGATCCTTCTTGATCACATCTCTCCACCTCTTCTTTGGGGCTCCTCGCGGTCGCTTGCCTTGCACTTCGAAGTCCATCGCTGTTCTTATCGGATGATCCTGTGGCCTCCTTAGCACATGCCCATACCATCGCAGACGCTGTTCCCGTACCTTCAGCTGGACAGGGGCAGTCTGCATGACCGCTCTAACATCTCGTTTCTAACTCTGTCCAGCCGCGTCCAGCCGCAGGCCCACCTCAGCATCCTCATCTCAGCGGAGTGAAGCTGCCTTTCGTGGTTCTTGTTCAGGGGCCAGCACTCGCTGCCGTATAGCATCGTAGGCCTGACTACTGTTCGGTACACCTTCCCTTTGAGCGTTCTGGAGCATCTTCGATCACAGAGGATTCCAGTGGACTCCCTCCATTTCATCCATGCTGTGTTGACCCGAGCCTTCACCGCCTGATCCACACTGCCATCAGCTGCCAGATCGCTCCCAAGGTAGCGGAAGTCCTCCACTCTTTCGATGGTCTCACCATGGCCGTCTACGATCGGCTCTGCACCCTCTTCGGAGCTCAGGAACTTGGTCTTCTTGACATTCAGCCGTAGCCCTTCTGCCAGGACCTTCTGCCATTGCTGCACCTTGGCCTGTAGTTCCTCTCTACTATCCGCTATCAGGGCGATGTCGTCAGCGTAGAGGATGGTCTTCAGTGGTCCTTCCATGAGGCCCTTCACCATGGTATCGAGCGTTAGGAGGAACAGGAAGGGGCTCAGAGCTGACCCTTGATGCACCCCAACCGTGATGTTTATCTCCTTTGTTAGGCCGTGAGGGGTGCGTATGGCTGCTTTGGCTCCTTCGTACATGTCCTTCACCAGAGGATCAGGTGTTCTGGCACGTTTCGTTCCCTGAGCGACCTCCACAGCACTGCTCGCGGTAGCCGGTCGAACGCCTTCTCCAGGTCGAGGAAGGCTAGGTAGCAGGGTCGGCGTTTTCTCGATACTTCTCCATCACTTGCCTTGCGATGAAGATGGCATCCGTTGTAGACCTTTCGGGCATGAACCCGAACTGTTCCTGGGAGATCATGGGGGGACCGAGTTCGCGGTCTCGGTTCGGAACCAGGTCTGCTCGTCAGCTTGGTAATGAGCATCAACTGTCGCGCGGTAGTTGGAGCAGTCCATCGCGTCGCCCTTCTGTTTGAAGATGGGGACGATGGTACTTGTCCTCCATGCATCCGGCATCTTTCCTTCCACTGTTACCTTGTTCAGGAAGCTGGTGAGCCACCTTATGCCGTACTCTCCGAGCGCCTTCCATGCCTCGATTGGCACCCCATCTGGGCCAACCGCCTTTCCAACCTTCATCCTCCCAAGTGCACACCTAACCTCATCCTTAGTCCAGAGTGCGATGGGACCAGCTGTGGCCTCTGCCCGTGAGTCGTTCTTGTGGGGGAACTCCTCGTTCAGAAGCCCCGTGAAGTACTCTTCCCACCTCCTCTTGACTTCGGCTGGCTTTCTTAGGATGACACCATCGCTGCCTTTTACACTTTTCACCACCCTGATGTCTTGAGTAGCACGATGGCGGGCCTTAGCCAGCCTGAAGACGAACTTCTCTGCGTTTCTGCTTTCCAACTTCTCGTACAAGGCGTCCATTTCCGTGTTCTTCGCCTTGGCGACAGCAGCCTTAGCGAGCCTCTTGCAACTCCTGTAGGTGGCGAGGTCTTCGGGGCTCCGGGTCTTCTGCCAGCGCTTGTATGCTTCCTTCTTCTGCTTCACGACTCGCTGGACCTCCTCGTTCCAGAACCACGCTGCCTTGTCTCCTCTGAATCCACACTCTCGTCTCACCCAGGACCTCCTTGGCACATCGCAGGATGGTATCAGCCGCGCTGCCCCATGTTCGCTGTATTGGCCCGTTAGGATCTGGGAGACCGACTTCCATTATCTTTCGCCTGAGGTCATCCTTCTCCGCTTGGTGCAGCTTCCACCACCGGATTTCTCCTCTCAGTTCTTACCCTTGTCTTCTTTGGGGAGGTCTATCGCAATGTCTGCCAGGAGGGGCCTGTGCTGGGGAGCCAGGTCTTCGCCGGGTAGAACTTTGATATCCTTCACAGTTTTGAGGGTTGATCTTCTTACCAGCACATGGTCGATTTCCGTCTGTCTCCCTCCGCTGCTGTAGGTTACCTTCTGAGTCTTCCTTTTCGCGAAGAACGTGCTGCAGATGCCAGTCGTGGGCTGTAGCCAGGTCCAGAACCCTCTCTCCCTCAGCGTTCCTCGTTCCTATCCCTCTACCTCCGTGCACTCTTTCTAAGCCTCTTCTGTCACTACCGATGTGACCATTCAGGTCACCTGCCACGGTCAGGTAATCATCTTCCGGAACCGATCTTATGGCTTCGTCCAGGCTCAGATAGAACTCGTCCTTATCACTTTCGGGGCACCCGGCTTGCGGTGCGTACACGGAGAGTATTGTCCAGTACCCCTTTCGTGTCTATCCTCACAGCCATGATCCGATCGCTGATCCTGTTCACAGCGGAGACATAGTCCTTGAGCGACTCCGCTACCGCTATGGCCACGCCGTTCCGCTTGGTGTCTTCTCCATTGTAGTAGAGCTTGACACCTTCCCCGATTTCCCTGGCCTTAGCGCCTTTCCATCGCGTCTCCTGAAGGCATAGGACTTGGATATTCCTGCGCGTCATCAGATCAGCAACCTCTCGGGACTTCCCAGTTAGCGATCCTACGTTCAGAGTCCCAATTCGAACTAGCTTCTTTGGCCGAGGCCGTTCACTCCTCGGTAGCCCTCGCATACTGACCACAGAACTCGGGCGGGGGTTCTGCGCGCCACTTCCGGGTGACGTCCTAGCTTTATCACTGATTCTTTTCGACTTTAGACATATTTGTGTGACTGGGGTGTTCATCAGCCGGCCTGTCAACCTGGGCCTGACGCTGGTACTAGAACCATTTTTGCAATTTTTGCAAGGCATGGTTAACCTCGGCAGGGATCGAACTCGCGGTTTTTCAGAGGTGCAGACATGAGTCTAACCTCTTAACCACTCGGCTATCCCTGCCTCAAAACGAACATCCTTCACCATATTTCCAAAAATGTGGTCCAATCTGAGAAATATGAATACTCTCCAAGAATTTGTGACATGTGTTGTTGAGATCGAAAAGCATCGTCCGTTGTGTCCAAATGTCGACAAAGTCTGTCCGTTTGCTGAACTTGGTTGCGATTACATCGGTGAGTCACAACATCTTTGCAAAAGCTTCGTCAGCTCACGCTGACCGCTTTTTTACAGGTGACAAAATCACCGTTCAGCAGCACTTGACCGAAGAGCCGATTCGCCATCTGATGTTCCTCTGTGACGAGGTCACTGACTTGAAGGTATGTCTTTTATTTTGGAATCAGTCGTGTTTGTGCTCACAAATATGATGCCCATGGTGTTAGGGGAAGTCAGGAGGCTCACCGTGAACAAAGCGCACAGAACAAGGGCACTTCTGGTTGCCAAGCTGTACTGTAACACTACAGGCAAGCTTCTGAACAAGATATCTGTGGAAGAGCGTTCATTAATGGAGCTAGAGATGGGAGTGGTCTGGAAAAGAGAAGAAAGCAAGAGAAACCCCGATTACGCCCAAAAAGGACCCCCTCTATTTCAGCCGCATTCCACCTTGGGATAGAGAAGGGGCGTGTTGGACGAGTTTCACGAACCTAGCTCCAGTTGCTCCAGTGCCAATGACATTGAACCGCAATGGGACCGCTGCCGCAAATGCGCCCGCGCTTTTCAAGCAGCGTCACGTGGCAACCGACAGCGGAAGGCGGGGCTTGCGGACGAAGGTGTGGATTGCGGGTCGAGCGAGCTCCTAGCGCCTTTGTCGCGCAAGCCGCAAAGGTACGCTACATCAACGCTAGCGCTCCTGTCTACTACGCTCGAGTATGAAACAGTGAGTGTACCTAATCCAGGAGCGTGCCTTCAAGCGTAAATCGATTAGGTTACGATGGTTTAGATCGCATTCCATTAAATCCATCGCGTGAATTCAAATATTCGTCCCTTGGCTATTTCTCATTTTTGTGAGAGATTTCGAGGAATTTCCCATACATATGGACACATTATTACTTGCTACGGGGATAAAGACAAGAAGAGGAGGGAACCTTCGAGAACCTCCTCGTAGTGGTTTACTGCATGAAAATTCGGAAGTGCCACCGAAGCTTTCACACTGTTGATTTAAAGTTAAAGTTAATTTCAGAGCTTCCATACGAGCATGCAATCGGAGTGGTGTGAAATGAATGAACGTCACCATGATTTGCTGCAAAGAGTGAGTCTGTCTTTGTACTAGCATCATTACTAGGTCACTAATGATATCCTCAACCTGGGGAATCAGGCGGATTTCGGGGGAGTTATGGATCTAAAGAGTTTTTTGACAAAAGATACTCCCACTTGAATATGGGTTCCTGTCCTAGGGAAGGGAAGCTTCACGTTTACAAAGGGCTCGTCTATTCAAGACCACACGTACTTAAAGCAGCACTCCACAAAAATTTGTGGGGTCACTGAGGTCGACAACGGAGTCGTGGATGCCGAGTTGACTAAAAAATGAAAGGAAGCAAAAAAAACGTCAATGAAGTCACTAACAAGTATTTCTTTTCTTCCTCATTCAAATAAGGAAGGGGCGGGTCGGACGAGTTGCATGAACTCGCTTGCTCCACGGCTCCACTAAAGCGCGTATCTGTTTTAGGTACGGTGTAACCCACGCTGCGATCATGGGGTGTGTGCGATCTATCTCGCTCATAAGCCACTGTCGCGCACACGACAGTGGTACATCTGTGATACTCGTGGGCTACTCTATCCCTGAACTCTACAATGAATAGATTCTTCGGCATGACTTTTGCT